CTCTCTCTCTCTCTCTCTCTCTCTCTCTCTCTCTCTCTCTCCCTCCTTCTCTCCCACCCTCCGAAAAGATCAATGGAAAAAAAATTCTCAGGAGAGGATTAACAACAACAGAAAGATAGTGAGAGTGGGCACCCTTGTCTTGTTTCTGATCTAGAGGAAAGCTTTCAGTGTTTCACCAGTGAGTATTATATTAGCAGTGGGTTTGCCTTATATCACCTTTCTTTTTTTATATTTTTATTGATATCAGAGAGGAAGGGAGAGGGGGAGAGAGAGATAGAAACATTAATGATGAGAGAATCACCATTCCACTGCCTCCTGCATCCCCCCACTAGGGATCAAGCCTGCAACCCAGGCACGCATCCTTGACCAGAATCAAACCCGGGACTCTCCCAGTCTACAAGCTGACACTCTATCCACTGAGCCTAACTGGCCAGGGCCCTGGATAATTTTTAAGAGACTTTGCACTAAGGCTTATGCAGGGAAAATTAAAGGATCTTGCATTCAAAAATATTTGCAGAAACTTAAGAGAATGATACTGGGCTACACATAAAATATGGTAACTCTACGTATTGTCCATAGACCAGCATCATCAGCAGTATCTAGAAGATTATTAGAAATGCCGAATCTTAAATCCCATACAAAAACTACTGAATCACAGTATGAACTGCCAAGAGATGTGATGATTTTCAGAACTAGAACAAAAAAATCCAAAATTTATATGAAACCACAAAAGACCTCAAATAGCCAAGCAATCTTGGGAAAGAACAAAGTTGGAGGTATCACACTACCTAATATCAAACTATACTACAGGACTAAAGTGATCAAAACAGCATAGTATTGGTATAAAAACAGTTAAGATCAATGGAACAGAATAGGGAACCCAGACCAATATGGTCAATTAATATATGACAAAGGAGACTAGAACATACAAGGAAGTAAACATAGTCTATTCAATAAATGTTTGGAAAATTGGACAGATATGAGCAAAAAAAAATGAAACTAGACCATATTTCTTTAAATCCTCATCCAAGGACATGCTTATTGACAGAGAGAGAAAGAGAGAGAGAGAGAGAAATTTGATATGAAAAACATTGATCAATCCCCTCTCTTCCCCCCGGTATGTGCCCTGAGAGGCACTGGAGATCAAACCCACTGCCCAGACATGTGCCCAGATATGTGCCCTACTTGGGAATTGAACTCACAACCTTTCATTGTACGGGATGATGCTCCAATCAACTCAGCCATACTGGTCAGGGCCTAGACTATCTTTTTACATCGTATATAAGAATAAACTCAAAATGAATTAAAGACTTAAATGTAAGACTTGAACCATAAAAACATAAGCAGTAAAATCTCTGACATTTTTCTTGGCAATATTTTTTCCTGACATATCTGCTTGGGCAAGGGAAACTATAAATAAATGGGACCACATCAAACTAAAAAGTTTACACAGCAAAGGAAACCATCAACAAAACAAAAAGACAACATACTGAATGGGAGACAATATTCACCAATGATACACTCCATGAGGTGTTAATACTCCAAATTTATAAAGAACTTATACAACTCAAACCAATCCCAGCCGCCCAATAATCCAATTAAAAAGTGGGCAGAAGTTCTGCATAGACACTTCTCCAAAGAGGACATAGAGATGACCAATAGACATATGAAAAGATGCTCAACATCACTAATTGTCAGAGAAATGTAAATTAAAATCACAATGAGATATCAGCTCCCACCTGTCAGAATGGCTAACATCAATAAATCAACAAACAACAAGTGGTGGCAAGGATGTGGAGAAAAGGAAACCCTCCTGCACTGTTGGTGGGAATGCAGATTCGGGCAGCCACTGTGGAAAGCAGTATGGAGGGTCCTCAAAAAATTAAAAATGGCACTGTCTTATGGCCCCATGTTCCACTTGTGGGTGTATATCCAAAACACTAATTTGAAAGACTATATGCACCCCTATGTTCATTGTAATGTCATTTACGATAGCCAAGATTTGGAAGCAACCCAAGTGCCTGTCAAATGGATTATTACTTAACCACTAAAAAAGAATAAAATATTATAATTTGAAACAGTATGAATGGATAGAGGGTATTATGCTAAGAGAAATAAGTCAGACAGAGAAAGACAATTATCGTATGATTTTACTTATAGGTGGAATCTAAACACCAAAATAAATGAACAAACAAAATAGAAACAGACTCATAGATACAAATAAAAAACTGATGGTTCCCAGAGGGAGTGGAGTAGTGGGACTGGATGAAAAAGGTAAAGGGATCAAGAGGTACAAATTGGTAGTTACAAAATCATGTGGATGTAAAGGCAACATAAGAAATACAGGCAAGCTCTAGCTGGTTTGGCTCAGTGGAAAGTGTTGGCCTGAGGCCTTTTCGATTCCGGTTCGATTCTGGTCAAGAGTACATGCCCGAGTTGCGGGCTCAATCCCCAGTGGGGGGTGTGCAGGAGGCAGCCGATCCATGATTCTCTCTCATCATTGATGTTTCTATCGCTTTCTCCCTCTCCCTTCTTCTCTGAAATCAATAAAATAATACATATATAAAAGAAATTCAGTCAATGATGTTGTAATAACTCTGTATGGTAGCAGATGGGTACTTGAAATATTAGGAGGATCACTTTGTAAAAATAAATCACATATTTTCTAACCACTATAATGTACATCTGAAACTAATATGCAATAATATTGAATGCAAACTCTAGTTTAAAAATAGTATTTATTTATTTTTATTATTATTTTGGGGGGTTTACATAGTCATTGATGAACTTTATTTCAACCCAATGCCTGAATACCCTTTCCAGGATTATCCTTTTTATCTAGTGTTGTTTTGTGTGTGTGTGTGTTTAATAACACCAATGATGGAAAGCTCACTACTTCTTCAGGGAAATGATTCCACTTTTATACAATGTTAATAGTTGTAAATTCCTTCCTTATTTTGGGCCCAAATAGGCCTTCCTGACCATTATGCTGCATTAGTTCTGCCCTTAGAAGTCACCTAATATGAAGAAAGCACTCTTTTGTAAGATGGCCCTTGAAAAATGAAAAGACTGCATCATATTATTGCAAAAGAGAGATGTAATTTGTGTGCCCGACCTAGCTTGGGAAGCACGGATTATACCTTTAAGAGATATTAGGTAATAAAAGACTTGGGACACATGTCTTCAAAATTAATGATCTGAGATATGGACAAAAACTGCAGAGATTTTTAAAAAAAGATGGAAGATGGTGATTGATCGTAGACTAATCAATGGCATTAAAATGGCAGAAAAAAGAATGTGCCAATAGAAGGGCATTGGACAGCATGAAATACAGAAATGTAGGGTCCAGTAAGTGGAATTAGCAATGTTCATTCAATCATGACCTGAATGTCATCTTTCTCAGCACCTTCCCCCTCTCTTTGCTCTATTTTATGCTTAGCAAATAGCCCTTGTGATCAAATTGGTCTCTTTTTTTTTATTTTCTCCTGAGAGAAACTAAGCATGGTCAGGATCTAATCTATTTGTTTGAAGTATAATTCAACTAAAAACAATAGCATCTAATCTAAGAAAAGAGAAACATGCAAATTGACGGTACCCCCACTATGCATGCCAGCAAATCAGGAGCGAGTATGCAAATAAATCCAACCAAGATGGCCACGGCCACAGAGCTGGAGTGAACAGGAGGCTTGGGTTGCCCCTGGCGATAGAGGAAGCCAAGCTTCCCGCCTGCCCTGGCCGGCCCTGGACCCCGC